TAATTGAACTACATGCAATCTATTGTATGCACGTTATATTTCTGTAAAGCAACTGTGAAATATCTCATAGTAACATTTTTAACTATTTGCTGCTTGGTATCATTCTTGAAGCTGATGTACTTTTCTATATGTATTTCTACTCTCTGAATTATTTTTGATAAATGATCTCTAAAAACAAATTATCCTATTTCCTAGTTATTCAAAAGATTTCTGTTACTTATGCTCTTCCTTTATAAAATATTCTGACCTATATTTTTATAGCTACCTACTCCTGCTGTAATTTCCTACTTTTCCTTATTTTCTAGTTCTTCTTAATTATGACTCCAGGATTTCCCAAACAACACTAGACCTGACCACAGCCTCCACCTAACATCTAATAAGTGTTGGAAGGTGTCCAATCTTGCTAATTAATAAATATCATATATATTTAATGTGTTCTCTTTCCATGATGAATGCATTTATGAATTCCCATATAATTCTGATTTTACAAAGAAAACAAGGTACACAGAAAGTATAAAATAAGAAAAAATATCTTAACACAGAAAAACTGCTTAACTGGCTTTTAGTGGCTCAGAAAACCTAAGATAACAAAATACATAGAAATTTCTAAAGAGCAACTCACATTCTATGTAATATAGAATAATGTTTGTTGGCCTTGTCATACACCGGAATAAATGTGCTTTGAAAACACTTTTATAAAACTGGAAAAAGTTAGCTTAAGTAATAAATTCACTTGGTATCACTGATGTAGAAGAACATAACAAAAATAAAACCCTTTTTTGGGAAAACTATCAAAGCTGAAAAAAATCAAATCATTTTAGGAAATTACTTAGCAAAGATATGGAATCTTTAATCATGACATCACTTAATGGTGAAATACACTTACAAAATTAAGATATTTTTAATAAAATAGTCTCAACATCTCAGTACTTTGCAACTGATTTGTGCCTGCACATACATTTTTCGAGAAGTTTCCATACTGATGTTGAGTTGATGTCAAGTCATAGTAGCCCTGTGTGAGAGCGCAGAAGGCTGTAATCGTTATTCTACACAGACTTCCAGGTCTTTCTGCTTAGTGTTTCTTCATTGTGCGACCAGAGCTTCTTTCCTAACCATAGACACGTAAACTAACAGAGACCTTGCAATATTCATAATTACTCTTCAACAAATTCAATAGCTTATACTAAGATGATTTCATTTCATTCTAAATTTCTCATCCAAAATTCAGAGTGCACAAAGCATAAACTAAACCTTCCAAAGGGCATGCCATATTATTATTTAAAGTGAAGCCAAAGCTAAACTGAAATGTGCCCTCAAGAAATGCAGGTATAAATGTTTCAGTCTGCTTTTCTTTTTAGTCACACATAGCTCTTTCAATACTTCATTACCGTCATCTGGATTTCATTACAAAAGAAATGAATTTCCCTCTCCACACTTTGAGATGTAAAGTACAGAAGAGGATAGAAAAGAAACTTTGGACTGAAACCAGGAAGTAAATGTATGTCTCGGAAAAAAATAAAATGGAAAGATAAGAGACATGATGAATTACAATAAGAAAAAAAGTCATGACTCTACCTGTGCAATCAAAACTCAAATATTTAAGTTAATTGAGAACCAAGGGTTGGAGGGTGGGGGTAGGGGAATAAACTTTCCCTTAGAAGCTACTAGGGTTGGAAAGGGAGAACCGATTACAAGGATCTACATATAACCTCTTCCCTGGGGGACGGACAAAAGAAGAGTGGGTGAAGGGAGACGTCAGACAGTGCAAGATATGACAAAATAATAATTTATAAAGTATCAAGGGTTCATGAAGGAGGGGGAACGGGGAGGGAGGGGAAAAAATGAGGACCTGATGCCGGGAGCTTAAGTGGAGAGCAAATGTTTTGAGAATGATGAGGGCAATGAATGTACAAATGTGCTTTACACAATTGATGTATACATGTACGGATTGTGCTAAGAGTTGTATGAGGCCCTAATAAAATGATAAATAATAAGTAAAATTAAAAATAAAGAAAGGTAAAAGAGAAAATAAAAAGAAGTTAACTAGAAATGTACTTCTAGTAATTGGAAAATATGGCTTGAGTATACTCACCTTTTGTCAAGAAGAATTTACTGTGGAAAGGATACTTAATTATTTCAATCAAACTTTTTTTATTTTAGATATTTTGCACACTTAAATTTTAATGATAACAGCAAGAAATTTTAAATGGCTATCATTTTTATTCATTTTCAATGTGCACCTAAAGCTCGATGCCTACTCTTCCTAAAGTATGTCAATCCAGGACCCACTAGCATCTAGTTGCTCACAGCTTATAGTCAATATCTGCCAGTGGCTAAGGAGGAGATTTTATTGTATTTGTATATGGAAGACATTCTCTATTTCAACAGAACTAGTAGGCTTATTTTCAAAAACAGAATGTTTTTTCTTGGAAGTTTGGGGTTCAGAGTTGGAACCTCTCCAGCTTTAGAATGTGTCTCCAGAACAAATGAATCTAATATTACCACTGGACTATCTGCTGCCCGGAAAATGAAAGCTCAGTAGGCACTTTCTCAAGAATCCTTTCTGCATGAGCTTTTACAGTAGTAGCTTCTATAAGGAGTTCTTAACGTGGTCCTCCTCTGCAAGGGTATGCTACTTATCGGTAGGGATGTTTTCTGAAGAAGTAACTTCTTCAACAGGTAGAGGCTCAAGTCCAGCAGGATTATTTTCTACAAGGAGCTCAGGAACTGGTAGCGGATGGACATCAGAAGGGATCTCTTTTGCAGAACCCTTTTCAACTAGTGGAGACTGGACTTCAGCAGAGACCTCTTCTGCAAAA